CATACTAGTAAAATTATTCGATTTCCTTTTGAGACATCCTGTATGTATTTTATACCTAATACTCTTCAAGTATAAAAAATTTAATGAAAATTTATTTATCATTTATTCGTTTTCACTTTTGCGTCATAATTTTCTTAAGAAATGACATGAGAGGGCGCACGGTCAACTATTGCAGCAAGAATATCTTTCCATATGTAAACATACAAACAAATTTACACGGATATTTTTAAAAAAAATTACACAAAATAATCACACAAATACTCACATCAATATGCACTTACATACACTACTCTCTAACGACGAGATTATACATATGATTTATCGATGGACAGCAATAACCACGTATCAATAGACAGATCAATTTCTTCGATTGTTGAAAGTTATTTCGGTTGAACGGATAATAGGCCAGGTTAGAATATGTGGAACGATCAAAGCGGGTGTTAAAACGAACGACAACGAAAGTGTTGCTTCGTCATTTTACGGTCGGCTAGCGATAAGGTAACGTAGTTCGAAAATCGCGTCGATGTATCTTTCAAACACGCCATGATTCGCCAAGACACCGGAACGATCTGGAAACGATGTGGACTGGAAGAATATGGTTCTGTCGCTGGCCGATAGATCGCGGTCGATAACAACATGGCTGTCTTATCTAAATTACTATGAAACTATAAAACGCGTATCACGATATTGGGTAAAATGAGAAATATAAAATTTTTGTGTTTATGAGATCTGGATAAGGAACCAAGCATATATAATAAATGGAACCAGGAAGAAAATGCACTTTAAAAAGAGAAATTGATACGAAGAGCAGTAATATCAAACAGCGTTATATTATAGAAGCATAAAATGAGAATAAAACTAGTTTGACGTGTGAATAAGAAAATAATATTGCGTACAGAATCGGGAAGAATCAGAAAGAATCTGACGTTAAAACATTACAAAAAATTGAATAATATTAATTATAAAATTATATAAAAATAAATATGTCGTGTTAATTTAGATGAAACATGAAAAATAATTATATAAATTAGGATGAAAAAAGACACACAACAAATTTTCATAGTTAAATAGCAACTAAGAAAGGCAATATCAAGCGAATGCAACAGATAGGGCAACGAAGAACCCGTTCTTAGGACAAGAAAGAGGGTATTAAACTTGTAAGAAGTCGAAAAACCGAGTAAAAAACCAAGTTCCATCCTCTCGAAAGGGCAAAAGCCAGAAGGGAGATAAGAGTGTCCGACAAAGACACGTGAACAATGATCCAAAGTGAGACGAAGACAAAAGCCTGGAGGTACCACTTGCCCTGGTCCTCTACGAAGCTGTCGAAGTGGAGGGTGCAAGGAGAAGGCGGAAGTGCAGCGGATCGAGAGAAGAGCAATCGTGGGTACCAAAAGCGAGAGAGAACGAACGAGCATACGAACGTGGAAAACCTCTCGCCAGAGTGGAACATCGGTGTAGCAATACAGTGAAGCGACGAGGAGAAGGAAAACGAAGAAGGCACTCGTAAGTGGAATAGAATTTCAGGGCGAAACAGTTCAAGGCGACCGCGAACCAAGTGCAACCACGTACTTTCGATCTAATAAGAGGAGGAGAAATAAAAAAAAAAAATAAAAAAAAAATAAAGAAGAAAAAGAAAAGAAGAGGAGTGGACCACGCGAGGCGACATAGAAAAAAGGTGGACCGAGACGCGTGATAGAAGCAGCCGATACATAACTAGCCCGTAGTTAGCTGGCGGCGATTGGTCGAACGACCCAAAAAGGGTTGGATTTTCGAGAGAGCAGCGTGGCGTAAAGGGTGGAGCGCTCGAGGACGCTCGAGACCGCTCGAGTCTCGGTGTAGCAGCGTATGTGCTACGCGATCTACGCGTTCCTGGGACTGAATCAGGGTGGGGGAGGGGCTCGAGAGGAGGGGTAAGAAGAGGGACAGAGAAGAGGAAAAGGAAA